TGGTACTTCTAGCTGTGTGGTCCCGTTAGCAGAATGGTACTTCTAGCAGTGTTGTCCTGTTAGCAGTGTTGTCCTGTTAGCAGCACGGTCCTGTTAGCAGCATGGCGATAATGACTGTGGCAATAGACGATGACTGCTTTCCAGGACAGGATCCAGCAGACACAGAACATTCAAAGTTCCCTGCAGAACCGAACTGTTCCACAAAGTTCGATCTGTGCAGGCAGATGGAGGATCACGGAGAATGCCGCCATGACAGGCCGGAGTGGAGCCTGAGTCCAAGGTGGGAAAGGGCCAAAGAGTGGTATTCTGGTGGAATGGACCGAGCTGCAGATGGACCACGTCTCAGAGCATTACTGGCAGACCAGAGTGGGTCGGAGAATGGTGGGTCATATCAAACCATCCTGCCGGACCTTCAGCACTCCACAGTTTTTCTGATGAATCTGATGAATCTCTTGTCTTGTGTCCAGAAGTAAAACTCAGGGATGAGTTACAATTTGTTCTCACTGTTTCTTCGGTTTTGCTGAACTGCTGCTAAGATTCACTCATCACTGAAATAAAACGTTTTTGCTGCTTATATTAATAAAACCTGGAGAGAAAGACCTAATTACAACATTTTTAATGTTGACAAGAACATTTTTATTCTAATCATGAAGTTGTGTCGACATGATGAAACCTGTGATAATAAACACTTTAATATCAAATAATACTCTTTTGTTCAGAAATATATTTAATCTGATAACTTTTCTTTAGTATCATAGAGAAAAAAATGCTTAATGCATAGTTCATTAGTTTTTCGCACTTGTTTCACTTTGGAATTATCCACACATGGCTTTAAACCCCCAGGGGGGAGATACGAACATCAGAAGATGAATGAATGACAAACTTTTGTGTTTCAAATGAAAAACAAAGAGGCCTTGACCTGTAAAGAGTTTTATTAAATTAGTAACAGAATGTGAGGTGGGACGTTCAGTACTAATTTAATTAAAACTGCAATTTCTTTTTACGGTAAAGGAATTGTGATTAATTCCTCATTTTTTGTCACATTACATTTTTTGTTTGTTTGTTTTAGAGCCCACAATGTTGAGAGTTAAGGACTCGAAGTTACTGCAAATATTAAAAGCAAGCTCTGCTGACACAAACCTGTTACTAAATAATTTTACTTTTGAATTAAGAGCTTGTTACACGTGGTATTAATTGTTTTCTGGATGCTGAAATGGTGTTTAAATACACAGGTGGGACTTTTTCCCCTGTGACGATCGATGTCCCCAAATAAGTGTTTAAGTAATTAAGTTTGGTCAGAGTCAAGTGTGAGGCTCTTGACATTGAAACCATATAATTTTCTCCTCTTTTAGTCCATCATCCTTTTTCTTTCCTTATCAGAAACATAAAGACTGAAGCTTAAAAGCAAGAATCATTTGAAGTATGTGAAAGCTTTGTCCTTAGCCAGATGAAAAGTCGTAAATGTTGTTTTTATGTGCTTTGGTCCTAAAGCTGTTGACTTTATTGATCTGTGCTTTAACCTACTTCACCACAAAATACTAAAAGTGAAATGTTCCATCCTTATGAGACTTGCTGAGTCCCTCAGATTTCTGCTTCACTGCAGAATTTGTTTCACAGAAAGAAAGAATCAGGTGAACAAATGAGAAACAAACACTAAACAGTGTTTTTGTTGAGAAAAACTAAAGCATATTTACCCATGAGCGTTGAATAAAATCTAAGACAATTAATAGGTTCTTTTAATGTGGAAATAAGGAAATCCACCATTATCTGATCGTCAAAGCAAACAGGTGTACTGGGAATCTCACAGTAGGAGTTATTAAAGGCCACTTGCCTGGAAATGGTTACAAACTGA